ACATATTGTCAGTGGCCATAGTTTGATTGTTAGCGATAAATTGATGGTTAGTTAATTACGTACTACTAGTCAATTCGAATTAGTTTAAGCAAATCATGATTTAGACAGAAATTTAAATGAATGTGTAACAGACTGTTAATCCTACTATTGCAACAACTATCAAAATTCTAGGATATGATTTGCTCACATCAAAAAGTATAATAGTTACAATGGACAAAATCCGTCAACAGGCGGTTTAATCCATATTACTTTTTAGACGGACAACAAACCGCGGCGGATTAATTATATTTATACGTAAAAACAATCCATAGTTAACCTGCAATAGTCTTTTTTAAAACCACATCACTACGGATATCATATAATTGGTTAATGGTAAATAAAAACCGGTTTCGTCGATAGATAATTTTGTAAGCATGAATCATTGTAACCATTGGAACATATTTGTGTTTGCTTTGCTTAGAATATGTAAGTATCTGAATATGGGATTAGTGAAGAATAAAATCATAACTCTCTCGTTTATAGATTACTTAGATGACTTCTTTCTAGATCATAGATCACAACTATGAACATCTACAACCATCTTGAGCCATTTAAAGAAATTATTAACGCTTATGTTATCACGTTTTCACACTAATAAACTTCTTAAGGGTAATAAAGAAATAAAGAAATGCTTGGTTTACCTAAATAAAACAAAAGAACAAATTGCACGAGCTTGGTAAGGTTGATACAAACAAAAGTCATATATGGGGAGAAGAAGAATTTGACTAAACGAATGTATATAACTTATAAAACAGGAATCCGAAAATGTTATTGGTGGAATGAACTTTTTTTTAACTGTACGGTTCACAAGTGGTCTTCTTTCTTCTGAACAACCAAAGAAGTTTTACAGACACACGTGAATGCCCAAACGAATAAACACTCTCTCGTGACACATTATAATTTTTTTTTTTACTTTTGTTATCTTCGTTTCTTACAGAAGTAGCAGTTAATAGTTTTTGTCTATATACAAATCATGAATTTCATATTTACTTTTTGGAAAAAGGAAAAGATTCAATTATGGGTTTGTATATTTTAGTGATGACATTTGTGGTTTCTCGAATTTTATAAATTTCATATTTTTAAAATTATAAAAATACGATTAAATATGCGTCTGATTCATTATGTTTGAGTTTAGTCGGTTTTATTTGTTTTTTAAATTTAGTATTTGGTATAACATGTAAGCAAAAAAATAGAAATAAATATAGACATTTTTAAGTTTATTAAAATGATAAATCTATAAAATTTTTAGTAGAAATTATATATTCGTAAAATTTACCTTAAAAATAAAAAATTTCGTAATAACTCTGAATGATTTTTCTAAAAGAATTATATCTTTTAAATCTTAAAGATGAACAAAACAAATTCGAATTTGATGGCCCATTAAGATATTATAAATTCAAAAGAAATTATCATAGTAGAATTATCAACGTTTCTAGTAAACAAAAACAAATCCTGGTGACAAAAAAAAAAAAAACAAATCCATAAAGATGAAATGATGGAAGATATATTAAAATAGGTAAGTAAGTAATCTAAGAGAACATGTGCGGCTAATAACTCATGAATCAGTTCAAATAATATCTTACGATAACAGATGATTAATAAATTAAGGCTGCTTAGTTTAGTAAGCAATAATATTTATCAAAATTCGTTTTCAAAGTCTTCTATTCATAGCTCGTGCAAAGTATTGGGTATTTAGTACTAATTTACATCGCAGTCTCGGATCAGTTATAGAAATAATTAAACATGCGTTTGATCTATTATATTTTGTTTAATCGGTTCTGTTTTTTTTTTACAATTTAATACTTGTTATAAAATATGTATTTAACTAAAAAATCATAAATATAAATATTTTTAAATATTCAAAAATGTCATATTCATATAATTTTAGTAAAACTAGTATTATTCATAAATTTGGCATAGAAAATAGGATATTTGTAAGAATCTCAAATAATTACATTCTAATATATCTTGTAGAAATATATTTTTTTTTTAATTTTGTGAACAAAAATGGTTGAGATTGTAATGAATAATATCCACGAAAATAATAGTTTTTTTTCTTTTCTTTTTTACCTTTGTCAACTCATAAGAATTGTCATGAAAATACTAATAACTAAATGGACTATCAAAAATACTTTCTGTGTGGAAAATATTTTATGTTATCCTTTACATTTCTAGTGTTCTATCCTTAAAGCTCGTTAGCCATATTTATTTTCTTTCTTAGCCAAGATATGTACTCATCCTATGAATAATATGTCCTTAAAGTTACATTAACAAACTAAAAAGAAAAAAAAAACGTACATTTCTACCAATCAAACAATAAACTTTATAACATAGCAGACAAAAATGTATAAATGAGTTCATCCAAATATGTATATCTATAACAAGTTGGTTACTGGATGATGTGAGGGGCCAAAAATCATATATTATATACTTTTCTCACTTCGAAATGTTTTAGAAGAATAAAAACTATATAATATAAAATAAAAAAGAGCCATTCATCTGATTCGATATGTTTCGTTTCTGTTAAAAACTTTCTTATACGAAATCGATTACGACACAACTGTGCCACATCAGCCTCTCAATCCAAGTCAATTTGTGTCAATCTACACACCCAAAACCAAAATAGTTTCTTACAATTGTAATGACGAAGACGTATTCATATATTCATATCTCTAATTATCTACATCTTGAGGAGGTTAATGATCAATGATTTACACTAACCAAGTCAAAATATATTGAATATATAGATCTAACCAACCAATAGTCAAATAATAGAATCATTACAAATTTATAAATAAAGAGATCGCATCTCTAATCAAATCCTCAAAACCCATAAATATATAACTAATTATTTATAAAATTATTACATTTGGAATCTCAAATCCGATTGATATATGTAAGAAGATGTGGTGGATATAATAAACAAAACACAGTCGCATTAATGATGAACTGATCTAGTATATATATCACTAGACAAACTTATACAAGTTGAGAAGAACAATTTAAAGATCATATCTTATGGGAATCTCCAAAAATAATATAACAGAAAATAAGATAAAAAGTTTTTTGTGGTTTGCTTGGAGACATTGCCAACTAAACAATATCTGTCTCTATATGTAATCTCACTATTCATATACTCATATGCATGAACATGTTACATCCACATAATACATAAACTCTATAAGTCAATATATATCTTCATTATTATTATATGAAAAATGTGTGTTTCATTAAATTGGCAAACGTAACGTGAGTTTGATGCAAGAATGCGTCTTCTTGTTTCCAACCTTTCAAATGATAATAGAGGAGACAGCTCTCTCTATCTTTCTATCTTTTTAACGACTCGTTTCCTTTCTTTGGATTGTGTTATACTCTATCCACACATTGGCACAAACTCACATCTCATCTACATATATTTTTATTTTATTTTTTTTGCATGTTTTAAGAATTTATATCCATATTATAAATTTAATAACTTATAGAAGAAAATAAAATTATGAAAATCATGTTTACATGGGGTTAGTTTATGTAATTGGGACACACTATATTACGGATAAATAATTTATATATTTTTATTTATAAACAAAACCGATCCAACGAAAACTGTATTACGAATAAATAAAAAAATTGTAAGAACATAATAAATATCTTTTCTATCCCTTCTATATCTAAATATTTTTTCTATGTTTAAAATATTTAAAAGATTTATTAAATATTTTGTAAACAACAACTTAGTTAATGAAAAGTTTTTGTTTTTTCTTTATAATCTGCAATGATTGATTACTAGAAACAAAACGTAGTCTAATTTTTTTAGCTTAATCCGCTTAGCTTTTGAACCGAACATGTCTATTTATAAACTAATGTCTTTTTCAACTTTTAATTACTATATTAGCAAGATGTGTAAGTTATAATCTAATACAGTTGTGTAGAAAAAAGAATAATAATTGAGGAGCAAAAGAGATAAGGCCAAGGCTGGGCCCTAAAAGGAGCCTAATTTGATCACACAAATCTTAAAATTTGATCCATTCTAATAAGACTTCTAAAGCTTTTTGCCGTATGGGTAAACATCAGTTGGCACTTGGCATGGGTCTCTTGCTATATCACACAAATCCGATCCCTAAGTTGTATTCTTTTACACGATACGTCATACGTTTGAAATTAATGCTCTATGTGATGATATGATAAGTTCCAAGATTACTATTAAGTTATCAAGAACACACTTCCATAATATCCACACAAAGTGAATTTTGATGCATGACTCATAGCTCAATACATACTCATATCTCACATTTGTGCACTTCCCATTCTCTTTACTATAACACAAGAGTTGAGGTTTTATATAGCACACCATGAACACTCTCATTCAAAAGCGTCAATTATTTTTTCTTTTCGGTTTTTACGAAAACTCGCATCTCAAAACTTCGTTTTTAAATAAGAACTTTATTCCAGAGATCTTTTTACTTGTTTTAGAAAATGTAAACTCTAAAAACACAATTTTTATAATTTTAATAGAATTTAGATAGAGAATATCTAATCACTTTTGTAACGTAATACTAGTTAACTTTTAAAAAATCGATAAAAAAATAATAATTTATAGCAGAATTATTGTTCTAAGATGAACATTTAGAGTTTCTTATCATAAGATTAGAATTTTGAAACCGGTTTTCTCTCGGTTTACCATTAACCGTTTAATTTTTCGTGTGAGAGAATCCTATTTCATAATTTGTTAGAATTCATAAAACTTCTAAAAATCTTTATAATCCTATGTAATAAGATTAGAATTTACTTATCAAAACATTTAAACGTTCACTGCCAAAAAGTTCGTAGGGAGGAAGCCAAATTTGAAAGCATAGGCAAAAGCAAAAGCCCAAAAACTTAAAGGTAAAGCCCAATAGGCTATTCCTTAATTAATTGAAATTTGAAATAATTTTGTGTTTTCTTTTTCTTCTCCAGCGGAAGAAAAAAAAAACTTTGTGCGCAGAAGAAAATAACAGAAACACACAGAGAAGAAGAGTGAGAGAAACTAGAGAGAAGAAATGTCAAGGTTTCTTCGTTCTACGTTAATGGCGGTTACGAGTTTCTGTTGATTTCTCTTCCAACCTTAAGAAATCTTCACTTCAATCTTCACTTCAATCTTCACTTTAGCCTCTATCTACTCCGTTTCCTTCTATATCTCTTCTTCTTCCTCCAAGAACCCTAAATTTCGCTCCCTCCGACCACCGTACTGACTTCACCGGCTCAATTCAGGGATCTACGGTGGTGATAGTTAGCTATGGCCGCTCCGGTAAACACCAATTCGATGCAGGTGTGTCTCTTAGCTCTATTTTTGGTTAGTTGGTTATCTTCTTGTTCGTTTAGCTAGTCTGCGCGGAGATGTAACTGAGAATTTGAGTGTTAGCGAATCGTGTCTATGTAATTTTTTGGTCTTTCTTGGTTCAATCTCGAATTGATTCACTTGATTCGCGTTCTCTTGGGTAGTTTATGAGGATATAACGAATACATTAGATCCTTAAGATGTTATACTGTGGAACAGCAGATAAAATTCATGGCTTCATTTCCAATTGGCTTTTGTGATCATTTACATGGATTCATAAGTCAATCAAAATATAGTATCTCATGCTTGTCACTATTGTTCAGAGAGTGAAGATTTATCGTTTGAATGAAGATGGTAAATGGGATGATCGAGGAACTGGACTCGTTACTATGGACTATATTGAGGTTTGCTCTAATTCCTGGATCCCTCCTGCGGCCAAACATCCTGCAATGCACATTCTGGAAATACCTTGAAAAGGCTTGTAGCTAAATGGAAACGCTAAAACATGCAGCGATCGGAAGAACTCGGTCTATATGTAATTGATGAAGATGATAATGCGACATTGCTTGTACACCACATAAGCACTGAGAATATCTACACGCAGCAAGAAGGTAGCCTCTTTGTATTGTGTTTTATTAACTATTGTAACTTTGGCTTTAGAGTTTGTTTGCATAACTGGGGGGTCTGTATCAATGTACAGACTCAATTATCTCATGGAGTGAACCAGAGGGCTCAGCAGAATTGGCTTTGAGCTTTCAAGAGACTGCGGGATGCACTTACGTATGGTGAGTGACAAAAAAAGTTCTATTGTCTTCTTTTGGAGGATTTTCCATTCTACAGTTCATTCCTCTTGACTACAAAAATGGTGCTTCGTCCTATTCAGGAATCAAATATTCAGTATGAAACAAGTTCTACATTTCAATTCTCTGAACGGTAAGAGATTTTTCCGGACCAAATATATCAGTCTGATTTTCTGTTTATACTTTAACTCATAGTGTTACATTTTTTAATTATATTAGATATCAGTCTGTTCAATGTGTCATAGGACTGGTTTGTTGCATTTTAATATTTCTGTAATAGAGTTATGGATTTGTGTGGCCAGTTGCTCGTTTACCATGTGTAAACAGTTTGACTTCAGAGTAGTTGATAGGAAATAATTTGTTTCAGAACTTTCACGGTGATGGAACTTTTGATCGATTTCTCGCATTAATTATATTAATCATGAATGTTGTATTGAAATATAATCATATAAGAAACTTTTTATTTCAGCACTTTCGTGATGATTGGAACTTTTGATGGCTTTCCCAGGATTTTTTCCCCCATTTATGTTTTCTATGTAACAGTCAGAAATTTTGTATTTGACAATATAATCATCTTTGCTTGAGTAGGCGAAACTTTTGACAACGTGATCAGTGAGTTGAAGAAGCTTCCTGATGTCAGCCGTTCTAATCTTGACCTAATACTCAAGGTTCATTTGCTTTCTTTGCTTGTGGTTAGCGTAGAGCTATATCCTTCTTACATGTTTCCTTTGTGTACTTAACAGCCTTAATTGTAATATCTATTGTAGCTGAGACTTTAAGACTGGTTTTTCTTGATTAATTCTGGAGTCTACTTTTTTTTTGTTACTCTCAGTTTTCTTTTCATCGTCTAGAGTATAACGGATTTTTCAAAGTTTCTTATGACAGAACTACGATTGTATGTTCTCATTGTTATTTAGGCTGTCAATGCATTTATGTGCAATTGATATGTGGAAATGTTCTTGTGTTAAGCAGTGCTCGTTATTGTCCTGAATTTGCATTCTAGGTCTCTATTTTATTGAGGAATTAATGTGTTTGTTTCCATCTTCCCTGCAGAATCTTACTGAATATGGCAGCACAGATCAGATGCGAGTAATCGAACTTATATTGAAGGATGTAAGTATCAAGTGCATTCCAAAGTTCTACTGTTTCTTTTTGTATGAAAGAAGTGGGCATACTTTAATGTAATACCTTAATTTTTCTTCATTTTGGGCATACTTTAACGGTTTTAGCCTGAGTTGTAGTTTTGTAATGCTTTCAAAACAGTTTTTCTTCTTTTGAAACTGCTGTAATTTTCCTTGTTAATTTTTCAAGGAACTGACACTGAAACCCTCCTTAACCTACTTTCTTTCCTGATATCTTGATGCAGGGTACTTTCTTTCAGAAATTGATGGGTGTATTTGAAGTCTGTGAGAGAAACAAAGATGTTGAAGGCCTTCACATCATGTTCAATATTGTTAAAGAAATCAGTTATTAGTCACATACATGTCAACATCATATTTTCTTACTCAAGCTTCTATAATATATGTAATAAGCAGCATATCTTTTTTATTCTTATGCAGTTTCGCTCAACAGTTCTCAGATCCTGGATATTATCTTAGGGGATCAACTGTTCATGAGAATTTTTGGGTGCCTTGAGTGTAAGCTTCAAGACTCTGGTCATATGTTGATGATTATAACTCTCAGTGACGAAGAAGGGCATGAGCAGTAGGATCTAGTTTTTTTTTTGTATCTATGGGATAGATGTGAGCGTTTAATTATATATCATATGTGTGCTCTTTGGTGGACTGTTCTTTCCTATTTCCTGTTAATTAACATGTTACTTAGGGTGTGAATTTGGAACCGCAAATGTTATAGGCCGTATGCATTTTTTCATTCCCTATTCGTAATATTTTATGCTAACGAACACTACGTGTTTTTTTTCCGCAAAGATGATCCCGATGTTCCCAATTCTCAACATCACCGGACTTTTCTGGAGGGTGTTGTTTTTAAGGAGGTAACATAATGTTCTCTTATATTCATGATACCATGTAATTTTGGATTAATTAGCATAAACCGAGCTTAGGGAACACATTATTATCAATAAAAAATACTGATCACACATTCTGTAGGATTTTTATGGAAAGGTCAAACTTAAAAACATTGTTATTGAACCTCACTACTGATTGCAGGCTATACCAATTAAGAATCTCCTGGTTCTGTCGAAGATACACCAAACATACAGAATTAGTTATCTGAAGGTTTCCGAATATATTTTACTAAATTTGTTTTTTTTCTTTCTGTGGTTTTTGGTCTCACCTTTTTCTTAATTTTTCGCAGGATTTTGTTTTGACGAATGTACATGCTGCTATATCCACACACCTAGATACAGTAATCAATGCAAACAATGCTGCTGTAAGCCATCTAGATAAAAAAAAACTCAAACTCAACGCACTGAATGCAATATTTATGGACCTCGTATGTTGCTTTATCGATGACTATGTTTGCAGGTTGTTACACTGCTGAAGAATGACATCAAAGAGTCATTTGCAAGGTTACAGTCACCTTCTACATCTGATGAATCAAGGAATAATTTGGTATTTCCTGCCTCCGTCATATCTTAAGATTATGATCTATTTGTAATCCATGGAGTAATGTATGAAAATGGTTATTTTAGTTGAAATCCATGAATAGGTCCCTGCCGGTTAGATTCTTTGATTTTGGGCAGAGCCCTGTCAGTAAGATTCTTAGATGCAAGAGTTCCAAACATTTGTGTCTATTCAGATACTGAGGCATTGAATATATTCAAAATTCATTGAAAGGATTCAGTTTAGTTCAGAAATGTTTGGGGACAACAGTGAAGTCTCTGTCAAGAAACTAAGCTAATCTTGTATAGACGCATACTATATATCTTCATCAAAACCATACTGTTTCTTGGGTGATTTAGACTGATGTTTTTTGGTCCTCCAAAAAAATAGGTGCACTTTTTGCACGAATTTTTTAGTTTAACCAAGAGTGCACAGCAGGTATCGGTCTCGAGGTACGTACTTTTCAGAAACTAAATTTATTAGTCATATATGTAGCAGCTATTGCATTATCTCTTGTGGATTATCAATTCAATGCAGTTGAGAGTGTTGTCTACTTGCTTATCTTGTAGGGAACTTATTAATGATGGTCTTCTTGACATCATTACAGAAGTCTTGAAGAGCCCAGATAGGATACTGGTATTAATGGGGTATATTATTACCTTTAGCTATACCTGATAGATTGGTTGTAATCTTTTTTAGTTATCATTGTCTTTAAGCCCTCAGTCTCATCTGGGTTCTTGAGAAAAGAACAAGTACATAATTTTCCAGTTATATACCCAAGATAATTATTGTCTGTTGGATGCAGGGCACAAATTCTAAATAATTTGTGGTCTCAAGATGCCACCCTCTTCTGTTCTTATGTTGTTCGGCTGGAAACTCCCCTCCTTGGTCTCTTGGTAATTTTTTAGCTCTTGTTGGATTGTTTTTCTTTTCAGCTGCGAGGCTGTTCCTGTTTATTTCTATATTACTGGTTTTCTTTTCAGCTGCGAGTAATAACTGGTTTTGGTTATGTGCAATAGGTTAAGGGAATGATGGAAGATGTTGATGATCAAACAAAATGCCAGTTTGTGGAAATTATTAAAAATGTATTGGGATTTGGTGGAATTCAGTTGAATTGCTCTGATAAGCAGAAGAAGATAGTAAGTATTCTCCTCTTTTTATGTGTTTCATTGTATGAAAAGGTCATAGTCAAGCAAGGTCATCTGACTTTGTTGCTATATTTCTTCTGACTTTGCACTTCTGTTCTGATCGGTTATAGTTGCATGTAATAATTACCAAAGGAAAAAATAAAAATTCGTTTCTTTGAAGTCCACATTACAAGAGTTAGTTTTTTTTGCCTTGTATTGATAATTCTTCGATACATATCTGTTAGAATGTTGGGTATAAGACCCGTGGTTCTCCTTTTTTCTTAACTAAAATATATTTCGATTTCTACTAAATATACTTTGATATATATATTTCAAATTTGCAGCAAGGGATCATTTTCGATACTTTCTGTGAGAAGCATCTACCTGACTTAGTTGATTTCATAATGGTCTCATGTCCTGAAAGACCCGGTGATACATCTGAAGGTGCATCTGTAAGAGTTGGCAGCCATTGTGGGGCAAAAACCGAAGTCCTATTGCACATTAGTGAATTGCTGTGTTCTTGTGTTCAGCTGGATCCATCCAGGACAAAGTAACCTTTATGATGATATTACATTATTTCTGTCTTATTCTCTATAGTAACAGTCTAACGTTCTTGTGCATTCTCTTGTCTGCTACATGCAGTTTTCTCCATAACAATGTGATAAAAAAGGTTTTGCTTCTCACACGAAGAAAGGAAAAACCCCTAGTGGCTGCGGCTATTCGATTTGTCCGCACTCTCCTCTCTGTCCATGTAAGTAGTATGCAAGCATTGTTTCATATAGACTCATCTTTGCAATCTCTCTTGGGAATGAAATTTGACACGAAAAATATTGTTTGTCTGGATTAATTGAAAATTGAGGCTCTGAGGTCTTTTGTATTTAAAACAATAATAATTTTAACGGTAGTTCAAGATTCTTGTGAAGATGTGCTCAAAAGTCATTGCATAATTACTCTGCTAAGGTTGCAGTCTAGTGTCGCATGTCATATTAAAACTGATTTTTTGTTCACTTGCACTAACATGAAAACTGATTCTATAATGGCTAGAAAAGGTTATAGGATGACAATAAGTCATTAGGTATGTAATACAATTTCTAAAATAGTGTTCTATTTCAGAATCACAATGTTCAGAGTTACATTGTCAAGAACAACTCGCTGAAACCGATTATAGAAGTTTTTGCTGCCAATGGTCACCGGAACAATATGCTGAATTCTGCTGTTTTGCAGCTTTTTGAGCAAATAAGCAAGGTTTCTAATCTTTCATCCTTTTCTCTTTCAGTTTTTTGGGGTGTTCCTCTGTACAAATTACTGTTTTGTGTGCAGAAAAATGTAGCGTTGGTGAAATACGTAGTTGATACATTTTGGGACCAGTTAGCTCCATTTGCATACCTGCTTCCCGTCCAGAATTTCAAAACGATATATGAGAATGTATTATTCTTCGATCTAAACTCCTACTTTGAAAAGTTTTCCTACAAGATTCTTTGTTTAACAATGTGTCAATGTGTCTTCAGTGCATAGAAAGTAAGGAACCAAAGAGCACCAATGGTCAATCTGATATGAGACAAGATGCTCTGCATGAAGAAAAGTCAGCTGAGCCCCATAATTCCAATGTCACAGCTGCAAGTTCTCCTTCTCGGGGGTATTTCTTTCTAGTCTCTCTTGATAGAAATTCATGGAAGGAGGTGCATCATAAGCAACAACTATAGTTAATGGATTTGCTTTCTGATTTTCTATTAATTATATAGCAAGAGGTCTGGAGGTTTGGTTGATTCTGAGGATGACAAAAGTGATGAAGACTGTAAAAGACAGAAGCTCACTTCAACAAGTGAAGGAAATAAGAACTCCCCAGAACAAGGTGACGAAGCTATGAAGGAACCTGGAGAACTCTAGGAGCTTAATGAAGATAGCAATAGTTTAGATGAAAAAAAATTACAATACGCAGATGTAAAGAGATGTTGAGATTGACATTGTTGAGAATAGATAGGATTTTTTTGGTGTGTAGAAAGCAGAGTCCACAGAGATACAAATCAGTAAATAGGCGAGAGGAGGAAATATGAGAACCACAAAAAGAAGAAAACTGTGTATAGTCACAATAGATTTTCTTGAAGACAATTCGATGGTCTGTGTAAATGAGTCTGCAATTGCTTTTTGTATAAACGCAATTTGGGTATTTTTCCTTGCTTGTAGTTCCACAAGTGAAGATAGAGACTAGAGAGGACGACTCAAAAGCCACTTGTTAAATGACTTGGTTGTTACAAACATAGGCAATGAAATTTCATATGTACATCATATTTAAACTTCATCTAAAAACCAATTTAGTATTATATTCTAATAATAGTATTATATTCGTATCAGTTTATTATAAAAGACTAGCATTTTCTTTTGAAATATTTGATTATAAAACATTTTTATTAGATGACAAAAAAAAAAAAAAAACATTTTTATTAAAACAAAGTATAGGAAAATAAAGAATTAGGAAAGAGTGCAATTTGGTAAATAAGGAATTATAAAATTGAAACTAATTATAAAAAACGAGTTGCGAATACTTTTGTCTATTTCTCTCTCTATAGCTTTCTTCTTCCTCCATTGCTCTGCGCCGCCTTCTCACTCTCTGGAATTGGCTCAGCTTCTCCACTAATTCCTCCCAAACAAAGCAAGCTCCTTCGATCGTCCTCTTGGTGGTCACGTTTCATACAAATTGTAAGTTTTCTTCACTTCCTTTTCCAATGGTTCGTGTAGATCTTTGAATTGAGTAAATTAGATCGATAAAAACCTAGTTTCGATTTCTCGGGATTACAATCGTTAAAAGTCTTTGAATTTATGAATCAAATCTTAATGTGATGTTTTAGGGTAGCAGAACCCAGTTTACTGAATCGCGCTACCTCCAAGTAGAAACCCTAATTTCGAATCTCTCTGATTAGGGCTAAACCCAGTTTATTGAATTGTTCAAATTCACTTCTTGTTCAGATTTGGTTTGAATTTTTCTTGTTATGCAGAGACATGGCTAATGCAAAGGAAGAGAAAACACAAGATGCAGCTGATAGAATCAAGGCTCAAACACTCACTGCTGCTAAAGGTCTGAGTCGCACTCAAGCTGAGCGAGCAGCTGCTGCAGCCGCGAGAAACGTTAACGCTTATGGGCAAAAGGAAGAAGGTCCTAGTAGATGGCAGGAGAAAAGAGAAGCAAAGAGGCAGATGTATTTGATGAGTACTGAGAAAGCGGTTAGGCTTGGTGAAAGGAAAGATAAAACAATGTCAGCATCAGCCATGGGAAGCAGTGCTTCGGCTGCTTCACAGTGCCAGAAATGTTTTCAGACTGGACACTGGACGTATGAGTGTAAGAATGAGAGGGTTTACATCTCGAGGCCTTCGAGAACCCAGCAGCTGAAGAACCCTAAGCTGAGAATGAAGCCTTCTGTTGATGATCTTGATGGTAATGATAATGGTGATGATGAAAGGCCAGATGCTGTAAATGGGAAAGCAGAAGTTGAGAAGAGGTCGAAGAAGAGTAAGAGAAAGCACAGGTCAAAGTCTGATTCTGGCAGCGACAGTGAAGCCTCTGTGTTTGAAACAGATAGTGATGGCTCTGAATCATCTAGAGATAGTAGTTCAGAATACAGTTCATCTTCTGACTCAGAGGAGGAAAGAAGGAGGAGAAAGAAGGCAAAGAAGAGCAAGAAGAAGCAAAAGCAGAGGAAGGAAAGGCGAAGAAGATACAGCTCTTCGTCATCGGAGTCATCTGAGTCAGAGTCTGCTTCTGACTCAGATTCTGATGAAGACAGAACCAGTAGAAAGAAGAAGAGCAAGAGGCACAACAGCAAACGTCGTTGAATTGGTTTTAGGAATCGAACAAGTGGATGAAAATTTTTATGCCTTTTTTAGAGAATCTCAGTCCTATATTTCTTCTTTTTCCTCAAGTTTCAACTTTTTCTTATTGTCAGCCATTCATGGCTTTGTGTTTGTAACAAATTGATGAATGTTAGAATCCCCTTAAGTTTTCAAAGCTCAATAGCTCTTGGAGAAAGTTGTAAACCCAAAAGAAAGTTTCATAAATATTCATAGCCCATTTTGACAGCTCTAACTGTAGAGAGTGTGGGTTTGATCTATCTGGCTAGCCGACCGTTAAAACGCATAAGCAGTTTGCAGTTCTGTTTCTATACTGGCACGAGCCTTCAGGACTAGCCCTGTTGGCCTAAACATATGAAACTTGTGCTTGAGACCTCAAACTATATACTAGTCACAAGAGCTATTGTGTAAGATTTCCTTAGTCTAGTGGTATAAATTACTAGGTCCTATAGTGTTTAGTGATAGTTACATGTCCAAAACCTAGAGGCCACTAATTTGTCAAGGTTGCCTCTACCTCCCTCTTGAGTCTTGACCCTCCATGCTCAAAGCTTGTTCTTTCCATGGTTCACTAATCTAACATAGCTAATAAGGACTGGACATCAATACATTGCAATTCAACGACAAAAACAAAGAAATAAAAAGTAAATCACTTTAGGGATTGTGGAAATTTATCACTAAACCGCATTTGCAAAACAAGAAACAATGGAAAATAATTAGTAAAAATAAAAGAGTTAGGATGAAATATACAAATATGAGTAAAGTTGAGGGCTTCAGTATAAATATCAATAAATCATGTATCTTAATTCTTAACGTTTTGTTGTAAATTTCTCTTGACTAGTTTACAAACTACAAAGTGCAATCTCTGTTCCCGCAGTATCGTCGTCCTTACAGACTGATCCCTCTTTATCTGGAAAGCCTACCGCTCTGGCTTACACTTTGTGTTCATCTTAGTTGGGTTCTCACCCTTTTTTTAATGTCTGTTGTTGATACACTACAAAGCTCATCTTGTACACAAAGTGTTCGATAAAATGCCTAGCTGAAACTCGAGCTATAAAACTTGCATATAGCTGTGGTTTATTTCTCACTCTCTATTCTTCGAGACTTAAATTTTTATTTCAGATAGCGATTTTATGAACATAATTACCGTTTCATCGCATTCATTTCGGTTTTAATCATAACAGTTTTGGGTTTTGTCTCAACGTAGTGATTTGAGTTTGATGTGTTCTTTATTTCTAGCTGCTGAGAAAACAAGTGAAGGAAATATGAGTATGTTACGGAACATGATGATGCCTTGGAAAAGAAGCAATCATAATGTAGTTGGATTGTTTATAAGGCATTTCGCAACGAAACCTAAACCCAAGATGAAACCGATCGAGCTGAACACACCACCGGAGCAAACCCAGACGATCACCCGAGTTATCTTTGATATTTTGAAGGATCATGGACCTCTCACCATTGCTGAAACTTGGGACCGTGTCAAGGTACTCTCTTTTTTTTACATAACTAGATGCAATTTCTTAGACGTTTTAGATTGACTTAAACTAGTTGAATGAATGTTTCTCAAATCTGTTCCAAAGGTAGAGAGTGGTATCTCAAAACCGATTTGAGATATCACTCTTCTCCATTACAGCATGCTTTCACTATCTTTGTTCTCTAGGTTTCGGATTGAACATTTTCAGTTGGCCAAAGGCATAGAATGTAAGGTTAATGGGTTCTATCTCAAAAACCAAGAGGCGATGTTACTCATTCTCAATAGGAGATAATCTCAGTTGCGTTATTAGAGGTTTTCAATCTGCCAACAGTCAAGAATGTTTAGTTTGATTGACTTCTTTTCTTAAAACTGTGGCAATGTCACTCTTTTACACTATCAGATCCTCCATAATCTTTCTTAGAGGTTTCAAATTGAAATTTTTAGCTAGGGGTAGAGAATGTGAAGGTTGTAGTTTCCACTTTCCAACACACAGAGTAGTTTTCATTCTGATCACTGTTAAATAAACATAATGAACAGGAAGTGGGATTAAGAGGGCTAACGAGCAAGCGTCACATGAAGATCATTTTAAGGTGGATGAGAGAGAGACAGAAGCTGAAGCTGATATGTAACCATGTTGGTCCTCACAAGCAATTCTTGTACACTACTTGGTTCACTAAACACAACCCTTCTAAATTCCCCAAGTCGCAGGAAAAATCATCCGGCCACCCTAAACTTCCCTAAGCCGACAATGTTATTTTGTAAGGCTTTGCTTCTTGAATCTTTGTTTTACTGTAAAAATCTGTTTTGACAAGTATATCTCAATGTTTCTGCTTCTAATCCATCGTCCATTACATTTGGACCAACATTTATATACAACTTTTTAGTCCATTTGCGCTTAATATCCAAAATTTGATCTGTTGTAATATGATCAGAAACAAAATTATTCTCAAATTGGATTGGATCAGCCAAAGAAGATGATGATTCTCTGTTTTCCAAAGCACCAAATGTTAATGACCTCTCCAATCTTTCTTTACTTACAATTACAAAAACAAAAATTCTCTCTAACTAACCCTAAACCTAAAATCCACTAACTGAAAAAAAAGAAATCCTAACAATCCTGCCGTTAAAACCAGAGTTTTAAAAAATTGCAGAAACTCTAACTAAAGAATTTGGAAACATGAAAACAAATATCTACATAGGCCGCCACTACTATTAGGATGATGATAAAGCTATAAAGAAGGTAGCGTCCGGTCGAACCAGTTAGAAAGTTTTGAGATTTTGGCTGATACGCTTTTATTTCGGCCAAAGAAAGTTTCTGCATTCGACAACATAACTGATACGTCGTGTCTTATTGCTTCCACACTCCGGTAATAGTTGTTCTCAAGCCTTGATCTGATTACTTCAAGAGACAAAGGAACTGGAAACCTGCAGAATGTGTCCATAAAACAAAACCATGTCAGCTTCAGTTCCACCAAAGCCTCTTCCAGTGTTGTAGAAAGTAGTTTACCTGTTGGTGTAGCTGGAGTTTCCCACGGTCTGGTTCAGTTTTTGGAGGCCATAAGAATCCTGAAACAAATTAGTCGAGATTATTATTGTTATGTTCTTGGGATAGTGTTGTGTCTTTGTCTCCTCTAATTCTACAAAGCTTTATAGACTTCAGAGTAGGCTAACTAAAAATAAAAGTATAAAGAGTGGTCTTCTAACCAACTAATAAGCTAATGTAAACCTGGGCCTAAGCTCTTTAGGTGATGTTTGAATTCTACCACCATGCGATATTATATTAATTAGGATCACATACCTGGGTTCTTTTGTCTGAAGTCTCTAACTTTGTTAAGGCTGAGAGAAGACGGTTTCGTTGCTCATCATCAATGTGAGGCTGCTCCCACTTGGTATCAGCATCAAAAAGCTCCCAGGGACTGTGAAGATGTGTCTCCGTCGGGTCACTCTTGTATTTAACTGTGTACCTCTCCCACGGGCTATCAGGAAAATCAGGTGATTTGGGTTTCACAGCTAGAATCCGTCCTTCCCACCAACTACCATCTTCTTCGCCTTCATCTCTCCACCAAACCTTACACTTGTCCCTGCAAGTCCAGTTCCTCTGTATTGCTGCTTCATACCGACTTCTTTCCACAAGAAAATCCGGAAATGACACCACCTCAGGCAACGTAAGTTTGAAAGCTTTGTTGAACACTTCTGAGGTTGGATCGATGACCTTAAGTATCATTTTGCAGCAGCTATCCCCAGAACCAGGAAGAGTTGCATATTCAAGATTTTCCACTTTACAAATTTCCACAGCCTTTATATTTCCTCCTTTTATTGAAGTCCAAGGAGCCACTTCCCTTAGGGGGCTAAAATTTAAGTATTCTTGATGCCCCTGAAAGATAACAGTAACAGCCACAGATAAAAGAATTAATACCAAAGGTGGACTAAACGAAACAACAGATAAGATTACAACCAACTCTTACCTGTCGCAAGTACGCAACCTCATCCCCCATTTGTGGAATATAACGAGAACCCTCTTCATGTATCGATAATGTCAGCCAGGATACATTTTCTATTAACTGCTGATGTTTCTTTGTTTTAATAGGTTTACTTTCACTAAAAGGATAAGTAGACTTTCTATTTCTTGTGGATCTCAAACGAAGTGTTGCCCCAGAGGCGGATCTCAATTCTTCTTGAGTGTTTTGGTTTCCATGTGAATCATTTATTTTATCTTGGATGTGTATCAAACTGCCTTCCGACTTCTCGAATCCATTCAACTGAGTTCCATGGAACCCATTAGAGGCACCTTCATGGGACTTAGAGCCACTAACCTGATTTTGACTACAAGAACCTGGACTGATTTCTTTAGTAACAGTAGCATCTCTATCTGAATTGTTCTTATGCTTTCGTGACTTCGATCGTCTATAGACAAAATCAAACATCCTTTTAGGATGTGAGTGTGACACAGGAACATCATTAGCAATTGAGAGAGCATCACTGATCTGAGGATTTAATTCCGGAAGACAATCAGTCCGCAGAGATATCTCTGTCCCAACCACACCATCCTTTTGACAGTCCAATGCCAAATCACATCTAGCGTCTTCAAAACCATCATTTAATGCATCAGAGCCACTAGTCTCTTGATCTATTGATGAAAGTTTTCCCTCTTGCCCCAAAGATGCCTCAGGAGCCCTAGAAACTCTCTTGGATCGTTTCCTCGAGATTGGTGGAAGGCTATCTATTAGATTGTGCTGGTGACCAGTTACATCCTGAGAACCGTTAGAGGTCCTCTCATCAGCCAGTCGACTTGGTGACCCATCCAGTTCTGGATATTGTTTTCCACCATTTGACACACCATTAGAGATCACCGTGTTAGTGTCAACCGCCATGCCATCTATATCTGTTTTCAATTTCAAACAAGTAGATACCATAACACCATTTCCATGGTGATTTGCATCTTCCTTAACATTATTTTCTTTTCCCTCTGGGTCAGAGCCCATAAGTTCATGCGATAATACTGTTTGACCTCTTATTCGCTTTGATGTACGAGCCTTAACCATTCCCCATTTGACTTTACTTACATCTAAACCTTCAAATTGATTTGTGTGGATTTCAAGGTTCCCAGAAATCCTAGAGTCTTCAGTACAGCTGTTCCCTAAAGTTGGATTTGGAACATCAGAAGATGATCCAGGTAGGTTCTCCAACAAGTTAAGCTTATCTGAATTCCTAACAGGAAACCTAAGTACTAATCTCCTCCTTTCAGCAGGATGAGTTTCTCTGATATCACATTGCTGTTCCCCATCATCTGAATCACATACGAGGATATTTTTACCCTTTGATTGCTTCTCATGCCCATTTAACAAAGCTACATCAAGTTCACTATCCCCAGTGCCTGAGTCTTGAGTTGTTGATTCACTTTCTGATGAATCACTCAATTCAGAAACTTCCTCCTCTTCTGCGTCTTTAGATGTACCTGTAATCTTAGAAAACCAAGAGAGGGCATTTCGTGCAGCTGCTCGCCTAGGTCTGGCCGATTTAGATTTTGAAGATTTCCTCTTTGATTCTTTGCGACCACTCCTAGAATTCCTAGTACGTTTTTTGTTGCTTGGAGCTCCCTCAAGCTCATCAAAGTTCCTCTTTTTGACGCGCCTACCCGAAGAAGTCATAATCCTAGCCTGGTAAAGAGGTTAAAAGGGATTAGAACCCTATTTAGGAGGCACAACATCAAAGAAATACTACAAAGATACTCACTTCTTTCTTATGTTTTTTCCTTTTGGATCTTCTAAGGCTATTCTGATGATCATCATGTTCATTGCTTTCACCGGAACTGGAACCTGACTCACCAGAGGTTGAAGAATTTAAACATTCTTGCTCTTTACCAGACGAATACTCCTCTGGCACATTGTATTCAGAGTCGTTTTCATCACTTAAGATATCGACTTCTGGTTCCCACTCCATAACATCTATAAATTCTGGCAACGGTTCAGCTAAGTCTAGATCTGCCAGAGGTGGCATTTGGTAATCTTGATCTAAAGTGATATCTGGCCCCACAGCAAGCTTCAAAGAAGACGGTCGCCATTCTTTGCCTAAGGCGCCGAGTCGCCGTTTCTGAAACATGGTCTGATACGGCTCTTCATATGGAACCATCCCTAGGATGCAGAACAATAGAGAGTAAATGATATGCTCATCCTCAGTGGAAGGATCTACAAGCATTTCAAATCATAGTAAAAGTCATTAAAACCTGAATCACAAAGAGGATCCTCCATATTTCGGCGAAAAGGTTGAAGCTGAGATTCCTGGATCAAAGTTTCGAAATGCCAATCAGCGATTACATTATGCCTATAACATGCACAATTATAAGTAGAACCACTAGAAGGGGAAGAAAAGACGAGCCCCTTACCTGGTCAAGGACATTACCATATATGTCCTGAATTAACGGCCGATAATCCCCCAGGAAGAACTGCAAGATGCCACACAGCAGCTATAAGAAAATTCTATTTCTACATAAGCTATTGATAAACGCCAGCTCTCCTAGAGGAGTTCACTGGGGCAATTAGAACTAAGTTATATCTATAAAATTTAGTAGGAATTTATAAAATGTGAAGAGATACGTTTCCTATATTTTCTCTAGGTTTCTCTTGATATTTAGTTTTTACCCTACATACAGAGATCTTTAATGTTTATTGAATGTTTTGATCGAAATGAGATTTCGATTCTCTCCAATTAATGGAACTAGGAGATATGTGGGACTCTAAAAGCATATACTTATCCTGATAAAATCCAATCTAGGGTTCTATCATAATTGTAGACAGTAGAAGTACAGTAATGAAGCTTTCTCCAATTAAGTTGTATTGGTACCTGATCATATTTCGCGTCCTTTTGAGAATCCCCTTGGCCTGTACTTAATATGTACAGTTGGCCCACATCATCTGAAAGTATAATTGAAGTTCCATCCCTACATTAAGAAGATATAGGTTAGCAATCAGATGGAGTAAAAGCATATCGAGTACAGCCCAAAAACTATTTGCTTACGGTGAGAACTTCCCATCAACCAACTTGTAGTGTGAAATCTCGTATATTTGGATAGGTATGCCTTCCCATATCTAGAAGAAGAGAACAAATGCTTTAATTATACAGGTGCTGAAGAAGTAGAGATTAGACAGTGAAGAAGGTAAAACTTACATCCCACACTATTGTTTTTCCATCATAGCCAGCACTCATAGCTATACGAGGATTGAAAGGATGAACATCCATAACATATGTCTGCAAACAGTAAAGATAACATGTTGAAAAAGGTTAATACAAGGAACTAAAAGGTAATCATGCCTGGAACACTAAAAAAAATCAGACTAGCTTCAGTAGATATACTTTGTAGACAATACAAGGCATACATAAACTAGGCCGAG